CCCCAAAACCCCAAAACCCCAAAACCCCAAACTTAGATCTGCTGATTGAAAGAAATACTATTTGTGGTTAATTAATCTTAGCCATAATTCTTTCTGATAAATTTCTGAAAGAACTTTTAATCCTAACAAATTACTGCTATGCTTGTTTCCAATGATCTAAAACACGTTAATTTTGTGAGTTGGCATTGTAAGAGCTCTATTATCTTGGAAACTAGCTTAGAATAAAAATTTTCCTCTTAAGTATCCGAATATTCTCAGGTATTGTGAATGCTGTTTGTATTATCTACCTTAATTTATTGGTATAACCCCTAACATACCTTTCTCAATATTATAGAGCTTCTTATGGATTTCTAAAATTTATGAGCAAAACTCAAATAGTGCTTAAGTATGCATAGATGCTTCAGATTTAATAAAATGAGGATTCAGTCCTTTCTCAGCATTCCATCCATAAGGCCTCCTTAAAAGGAGGTTCTCATTGATTCTGACTTTATTCTCTTTAATATCACTGGTGAAGCCAAAACTTGTCCTGAACTCCGCATTGATGACTTTTTATGTGAAAAACTATTTCATGCTAATATCTACTTATGCTAATTTGATCAACCCAAAGAATAAAATCTATCAATTATTCGATCTTGATCTCTAGATGTATTATTCTCCATATAATTCTGATAAGAATTCTACGAAATCAAAGCTCTGTACAAATTTGCTAACTTTACAGCATGAATAGACCAATGCATGCTTGAAGCACTCAAAGGCAACCTTTACTTAGCTCTACTATAATGTAATAAGTGAATGTTAGTGTCTCTCATATTTTTATAAACCCAGAGGCGAGTTAAGTGTCAATGCTAAAACCAGAGCTTTGGAAGTCTTGGTGCTACAACCTTTAGAGAGATACCTCTTATGTTTCAGTAGAAAATTTTGAGTTGCTACAAATCAATTTCTTCCTATTTTTTGCTAAGGACTACCCTCAGCTAAGGTTTGAAGCATAGCAAGAAGATAAGGTTAACATCTTACTTTTCCTAACCAGTTACTGAATTTATCCATAATTTCATTGACTTCGAGATTGGACAATGGAAGAGTCTGATTAATTCTGAAATTGAGGGTCTCCTATGCCTGATTGAAAAAGACATCCAGTAATAGGGTTATAAGATTCTGTGTAGCATTTAGTCGGATTATAGAAGATTAGAGACTTCCCTTAACAATATACATAATTCTTCAATTCTGATAAAGTAAGTGATGTAATGCTCTAATGTACGCATAAGCATAATCTAAATGACCTAATGGATTAAAATTTTATTGAATATGTTAATATTTTACATTCGCTTATCTCTGTCTTTCTTCCTCTGAATTAAAGCTACTGCTGTATGGATCATCAATAAACTTGATTAACAGTAGCCAAAAAGAAAGTTTATATCGAGGCTTTAATCGATTATTAAGCCCCTCTATATTTTCAGTAAAATGTTCAAACAATCAGATTAGAGTTTCAACAGTAAATTCTTCTAACTAATTTAGTTAAAACTCCGAATGGTAGAGTATTAAATATCTGTTTTATAAGGCGAAACCCATCCATTGAGAACTTCAACCGAGCTCAGTAGTTTCCGAATGATTATTTTAGAAGGGCAAGAGCTAAGTAGATTCCAAAGTCGGCAGACAGTAAATATTTTAGCAGAAATATAGTTTTAAAATTAGATAAAAGCTTGATTTTATAGCCTTAATATTTTATAGTCTTACTGATATCTAATTTTAAGGTGAAGAAACTCAAGGTGTGAAATCTGTGTCTCAAAATCTTCACAACTATCTCCAAATGTAAGGTTCGAAGTGTCTGATAGATGTAAATTAGCCACTCTGAGGGATTTTATCACTAAGGCTTCAAGCTATGATAAAACTTTTGATAAAAGAAGTATGGTGATTACAAGAAAGAATAAAAATGATCTATATATTGAGTCTCCCGATGACAGAGAAAATCTCTTTCTTTGAAGCTTTGATCCTAACAAGTAACACCGTTTTTTATGCTCAAACTACAATCTCTTTATTTTAACTTTAGGGGTAATTTCAGATATCTGCTTAAAATGTCCCAACTCTCAACTTGTGTATTTGAAATTTTATGTATAAAAGAATTTTATTCAAGGCAATCATAAATATTCTAAAAAGTAAGTTTTTTCATCTCATCAGGATTTTTCTAAAGAGTACTTCTCTCATTTTTACTCAAAATCCATGACTCTTATCCTAATTTTAATATAGATGGAATCCATCTTCAAACACTGTGAAAGATACGAGGAAGACTTAAAGTTTTTCGAAGAGAGCAATTTCTGAGATATATTCCAGAACTCAAATAACTCAATAAGTACAAACCCCTTTTGAGAAACTGGTAAGCAAAACCTCTTGGAACTCCTCTAAAATTTGAGTATAGATAGAGATTTCGCTAGCAATACTGATGAATCAACTAAAATTAATATACTACATAATGATGCCAAGATTATGGATGAGAATACTTTCCTAGACTTCAAACAAAACATGCTCCCAGAGATCAACTTATCTGCAACCCGAGATCTCCCTGTTTTCCCTCAAGATATGAAGCAGACTAAAAATGTTAGCATGCCTAAAAGTTGCGAATTGGTGGGCCACAAAGAGACTGAAGGAATCCAGATACTTGACCCAGCTTCATTCCCTTATAAAGATTCTAAAGTTAAATCTAATAGCCGTGATAAACCCTTCAAAGCTATATATGGAGAAAGAAGGGATGTTATTTATAAGACCCTCATCCGTAGCGTCAGAAGATTCTTATGGGATGATTTTGCCTCCGCATTTTGCGACTTCCATTTCTCAAGTCGAACTAGGGGGTGTGAAGTTTACCAAGAATATCTTCAAAAATTTTGCCAAAGGCACTTTAAATGTGCTAGCATCCTTCCTCCAAACGAAGGAAATGAGATTTCCTTTTTGCACTGTCTTTCTGTATTAATGACTCCTTACTATTTTATCCCTAAAAGATCAGAATCTGCAAAGAAGATAGCTCGGCCTCTAAAAAACATTGTAAAGAAATTCTCTCCAAAACTATACTCAAAATTCTTTAAACTAGAAGGAGTCTCTACTCTTTTCAAAGTCCTAAAGTCATCAAATTACATCTACAAAATAATTAACGCATATCCGAACATGAAGAAGTCGGAGGAGAAGTATATGGAAGCTGTTGACTCCATCATTAACTTCCCTACCAACCCTACTCTAATGAAGTAACTCCTGCTGCTAAAGAGTATTGCACTCTTAGCCCATAAGACAACTTATCTATATATTTCAATGTAACTAAAATGGAAAGGGGTTTTGGGGTTTTGGGGTTTTGGGG